TGCGGCATGGCGCATGGTATCACATGTCGCGACACCTAACATAGAAAGTGAGGCGTATAGCTCTGTGCCACTTGCCGCGACGAACGTACTGCATGCTGCAACACATGGCCCATATTTCAACCTGATTTTTTGGTTTTTATTGCAATATTTAAGATGAATGTATATAATTTATTTTCATTGCGTGTTGCTCTGATGCAGTATGGGTTTGATGATTTTGCAAATAAGTCTTCAATCTAATTTTTTCAAATAGATTTTGATTACTAATTATTGTGATTGGTATGGTGATTTAGTTAATCTTCTCCTATATTGAGCGAATATAGGAGGAGGTTATAGTGTTAGCCTGATATACTTTGTTGCACTGATTGTTCCATGGTGCCAGCCCTACTATATGGATTTGTTCACTCTCATCTCCACACACACACATCCACATATGCCCATGGTGAACTCCCACCCCCTTATGATCATGCCTTTCACACACACATATCACCACTTTACCGGTTGTTACACTATATATGTAACATCCTGAATTTCTAACCTTACATTAATATTGAATAAGGAATGAATTAGTGATTTAATGTGAGATTAGTAATTTCTAACCTTACATTAATATTATTTCAACTCATTGGGATAATGTATGAATAGATATGAGTAGAAGAATGGTGTCCTGAAGTAGAGCATGTGAGTATAGTAAGGATTTCCCCTAATGTGCTATACACTGTAGTTGAGGCTAGATGTGCTGCAGTATATGGTACAAAATTTTGATAAGTTAGATGTGTCTAGCTTGTGAAATCGAAAGGAGAAACAGAGAAAGAGAGCGTGAGGGTGGAGGAAAAGGAGATCTCTATTAAGACAAGCTATTTCGAGAGCAAGTATGATGTTTTTGACCTATCACTTATTAGATAAGTCTCATACTATCTTAACCTTCAATTCTACCCTATTTTCTTTTAGTTTTAACTATTGAGAAACTGAATTTATAACTTTTAAGGAGATGATTTCTTACCCTATAGTAATAGAAAGGTCCTCTGGCTTTAAACTAGACCTTTATGATTGGTTTGAGTCAGAACGATAAAGCTTTGAAGCTATAGGTTCAAATTAACCAAGTTTAGAGAGAGAGTAGTGAGAGAAATTTGCGTGTGAGAAGGTTAGTGCTTGTCACAAGTGGTAATTGGTCATAATATGCATGAATGAATATGAAGAGAGAAAATGATAGCGATTAGAAGAAAATGATAGCGATTAGATGCCTAAATTGCTATAATTGGCACTTTCAGTCAGTGGGAAGACTGATTCTAAATGCCTCAATTGTGTAGATTTCATGTGTGTGACATGTTGTAAACACAATAAGGAGTTTGAGTGAGGTTTTGGAAAATAGGTAACTCTTGCTATCAGACAGAAAGGTTGAGATAACCATATAATTTATTATGTTTATTAGCTATTATAACTGTGTAAAAATAATTATATAATTGTGAAATTGTTGTTTTGCTAGTTTCTATGCATGATTTTGCATTGTAAATGGTTTTAGCATGAAATTGATTTATAAAAATTAAAAGTCTAATGATTACTAGTTTTGATTGATCTATATATGTGTTGTGTGTTTGTATAAGTGGTATGGATTGTGAAAAAGTGAAGAAATGTGTGTGAAAAGCATGATCATAGGGGTGCAAGTTCACCTAGGGTATATGTGGATATGTGTGTGTAGAGATACAGGTGAACAAATTTACATGGCCGAGCTGGCACCATGAGACATTCGGTAAAGCATTATACGAGTTGGTGCCATGGGTAATTCGATAGAGCATTATATTAGGATTGTTACCATTGACATCCAGGCAGTCTGGAAACTCTTTAGTGTCCATAAGGGTGCGATTTAGAGTCAACGATACCTCTATTATAAGTGTGTGAAATGAAGGAAACCATAGTCTGAAAGTGAGATAAAATACCTTTGGTCGAGTGTTTCTACCATTAAAGGTGTGCTCAGGTCAATATGTGATTGATCCAAGAGAGCCTGTGGTTTCGTGTCGGGGAGCATTAGAGGCTAGGCGAATAGAAGATCATGCTAGTGTTATGATTGTGAAAACATTTTGAAAAGAGGGAAATTTTATATCTACTTTCAATATATATATATATATGCTATTACTTTGGTTTTGTTACTTAGGCATAGTTATCTATGTTAATATACATTAAATGAGCTATATTGATTACTAAGATTTTGATCTCACCCGTAGTTATTTACAATTTTTTAGGTTCAAATACTAGTAGTGCAAAAGAAAAGGAAACAGGATGAGTAAAGACTTCTTCAAAAAGCCAATTGTAAGATGGTATAATAAATTTTAATAAATAGTAATGGTTATGTATATAAGTCGCCATAGGAATAAGTAATGTATGAGCATTTGTATAATTGTGAATGTTTGTGTACATGTGGTTTGGTATCCTGACCCATTATGTGTATATGTGTGTTAGTGACAGAAATGACTATATGGGCCAATGGATAAGAATGTATATGTATTGAAGTGATTGCATATGTTATGTGTAAGTTTTGGCCATACTTGTGGAAAGTAAATGAAAAATGAGAATTTGCTTAAGTTATATGTTATGGGAAGTTTACAAGCCAAATGTGTGTATGCATATTATATTGTTTACATACTTGGTCAATCAGGTGTTGTTTGTTCATTTGGATGTCATCAAGGCCCTAGAAGTAGCCAATGATTGGTGGTTTTGGTTGGTGAGACAAATTTTGGCATTAAACGATCAAAATATACTTGAGTGTTCAAATTTTAAAGGGGATATTGGATTTAAATGAAATTAATGTCATTGGTTAGATTTTGAAACAAACTTTATATAGGCACTTGAATTACGCCAATCAAACATTGGATGCCAAAACGGTGCACGTTCAAAGTTCGTATCAGAATTTGTAATTTTACAGCAAATTTTGGTATGTGCACCGCAGCACATGGCCCACTTTTTTGTGTAAATTGTGATGTTTTGAGTTGCTCTTCGAGGTGTTAATGTCTAACACTTTTGCTATATTCTATTTTGAATAATGTAAATGGTTTTTAAAAAGAGATTTTCAAAAGTTTTATATTAGAATCCCAAAGCTTTCAAAATTATTTATTTAGACTAGTAGATTACGTGAAGGATGATATGGTAATGTCTTTGAGGGCATTACAATATACATTTATATTTTCATTTAGAAAATCATTCACAACTCATTAAGCATTTCAAAATACATTTTAGATGCTCAAACCATACACATTATAAAACATTTATCATAAAATTCCATAAAACATCAAATCATCATTTAAATAATTACTCTTATACAATTATCATAGTTAATAAATATAACAAACTATATTGTTACATCAATCTTTTTGTTCTTAAGAAAGGTTACCCATGGTACACTTCCTTATTTGAGTTTATTTCGCTATTCAACATGTTGCACATGGTAATCTACACAATTAAAGGCACCTAGAGTTAATTATCTCATTGACTAACAGTACCACTTTTCACCAATAAACACTTAAACACTTTGATTCCCTTATCTGAGTCCTCCTAAGTCCATCTACACATTTCACACTCATTCATCACTTATTGAAACCTTATTGAGCTTCTATCTAAATTTTCACCCATTTTCTCTTTCTAAATTTAACAAATTTGAGCCTATAGCTTCAAGCTTTACCGTTAAAGCTCAAACCAATCACGAAGTCCTAATTTAACTTCAAAGAGCCTATTTATTACCATAAGGTAAAAAATCAATCCCTTAAAACTTCTAAATTCAATTCCCCAATAGCTTAAACTAAAAGAAAATAGTATAAAATTGAAGATTAAGGTAGTACAAGACTTATCCAATAAATAATAGGTCGAAAATTCCACTCAAGATCCTGAAATGTCTTGGCTTAGTAGAGACTCTTCTCTTTTCCACTATCCCATGCCTTTTTTCTCTATTTTTCCTCTGCCTCCACAAGCTAATACACGTGCACGTCCTTGTTTATCAAATTTTTGTGCCATGTGCTGTGGCACACCCAACACTAACCACGACGCATAGCACAGTGAGAAAACTCCTCACCATACTTACATGCTCTGCTTCGCAATGCAATTCTTCTACTCAAATTTGTCCATGTAACATTCCAAAGGGTCAAAATAATATTTCACCATTCAAAACTCTAATCACACATTAATTTACTAATTCACCCCTATTAACACTTAATTCCAAGATTAAGAATTCAAGATGTTACAAAAATTGATCAAGATAATAATATTTTTAAATAATCAAATACAATGTGTTTTAAAAACGAGAAAAATAAAATGAGAGCAGCTTTAAGATGTTTTCATTTTTTGTTTTCAAAAACAAAAAAAATGAAAACATTTAAAAACAATTAAATCCAAAATACTTAACCAAACATGTATTTTAATTTTTTTTTCCTTTTAAAAACAAAGCCCAAACAATCCCTTATAATACTCATTATCTCTTTTATATTTACATTTTACTTTCCTCAATATTTTCACCTAGTTTGGAAAGTAATACAAGAGTTATTCCTCAATATTTTCCCCTAATATTATGATATCCATTTACGATCATATCGTCAGGATTTTTAGGCCACTGAATTTCTTCACAAACCAAATAGTTATAGCTTTAGTACTATTTTATAGGACTCCAATGCAACTTGCTGCTTCTGGAATGAAACTTGGCCATATAAATTTCCAAACTTCCAAAATGAGTTGCATTCCGTTTTCTGAGCACGCCAGAAACATGGTAAATTTTTTATAAAAAGTTGGAGAAATTGAACCCTTCACAAAAACATATGAGCCAGTTTGATTCTATTTTCTGTTTTGTTGTTTTAAAAAATATTCTATAAAATAATTTTTCAGAATAAGTTTTGGAAATAAAAAAATAAAAAAATTTATTTGAATCATTATTCTGTAAAATATATTTAAATTGATGAAATAAAAAGTGAAAAGATAATTTCTTGCAAAGCTAAAATACCAAGATTAGGCAAGCACATTCTCCGTCTAGAAACTGGAATAAGATACTAAAGCCCGTGATGTTCATGCTGATACAATTCACCTAGGTCTCGTGTCATTTATTTAAAAAAAAAAAAATCCCAAGATCAGACAAGTACGGAAGGATTTCTTGCAAAGCTAAAATGCCAAGATTAGGCAAGCACATTCTACGTCTAGAAACTGGAATAAGATACTAAAGCCCGTAATGTTCATGCTGATACAATTCACCTAGGTCTCGTGTCCTTTATTTGAAAAAAAAAGGAAAAAAAAAAATCCCCCCTAACACTTTGGACCTAATGCATTACATTCATCGCATGGCAGAGTTTCCATAGCTTTTTACTTAAAAAAAAGCATGGATCATCTATAGGCTCATGAAAGTGAAACCCTAGAGATCATTCATCATGTAGGCATAGGACTCCCTCCATCACAAGTAGAAACTTTCCATCCTCGCCCTGGTCTCTTCCTTGTCTCACTGTCAACTGCCCTAATGTTTCAACCTCTTCTATGCAAACTTTCTTTTTCTCATCATTCCATCAGCATTATATTGATTGAGTATTGAAATTGACTTCCCCCATGGCAAAAAAAAAAATATTGACGAATATCAAGAGTTTGCTTCTCTGCCAGATTAAGAAATAGATAAAGTAGATATGTCTGAGATGACAATCGGAGTGGGTAAGTTAATGAACTTCCAATAAATGATTTCGATACTCTCCCAATGCCCAAATCGGGAATATGTTTCTGTATGCAGAGTAAGAGATCATGCAGTTCCTATTGAAAACTCCAATTATTTCCTGCAATGATTTAAAGAAATATGAAGATGACTGGTTACTTAAGGCTTACACAAAGGAAAAGGGGCAACAGAAGCTATGCTCTATGTATCTTTATTCAAAGAGAGAGGCTAGTGACGTGACAATAGATTTGTTCTTCTTCCATACCTGTTGTGGGAAATCGCCGTTCTCCATTTGGGAATTAATCAAATATTTGGCAGCACGGTGCAAAGGTGTTGGATCTCTCTTTGCCTGTTTCAAGTTTAGGAAGAAGATGGTAAAAGATGAATTTCATCACAAACAAGAAAACGTGTAATGTTATCTGGGTATGATTTTCTCATTGCATCTTCCGTTCAATTGACATTGGAATGAGGTAATCAGATGCATGGAATGCATTGAAGAAATTCTCAAATCTGTTTCAAATCATGAGGCTCCTTTGCAACTCAAGGAAGTAGAAAATAGAGTATGGAGAAAAACCAAATGAGTTGTGAAAATGTCATTTTAACTTGAAAGAAGTCAAGCGAAATGGCTATAATTCATTCAATTGATATCTCTAAATAACATACAAAATGCAAAAGAAAAGGCACATGCATGGGGGGAAAAAAGACAAATTCATTCTATTGATATCTTTATAAACTCTCCCTACATTTTATAGCTGGTTCCGAGCCCAAATAAAGAAAGAAATTTACATCAGGCCCTAAATAGCCAACATAAAATTTTGTAAAATCTCATATGAATGTGGACAATAAATATTTTTATGCTAATGCTAAGTTATTGCCTTCAAGCACTATGCTGTATGGCTAGAGTACCGCGACAAATGAGCAAGAGCCGCTTAATCAACACCCACATGTAGTGCTAGATGAACAGCAAGGATTCCTACATTTTTCTAGACAGAAGCCGGTATAGCAGTCTATTTGAGCAAGATCAAATTCAAAACTTGAAATATTGGGTTCTTGTATGGCAGATCTATGGAGATGTTGAGTGTTATGATACACAGAAAAATTAACTTTTTGTGCCTTCAAGAGACTAAATGGGCTGATGAAAAGGCCAATGAACTTGGAGATTTCAAACTTTGGTATGCTGGAAAAGTACATTCAAGTAATAGTGTTGATATCATTATTTATAAGTGTGGAAAAAGAATACGGTGGAAGTAAAAAGGATTGGGGACAGAATCATATTCTTAAGAATGATTACTGAACGCAAAGCCATCAACATTATTAGCACCAGTGCTCCTCTGATTAAGGGTAAAAACACATCTTAAGGATAAATTTTAGGAACACTTAGAGAGATTCGTTTAAGGCACACCACAAGAGGAGAAATTTTTCATTGAAGGAGACCTTAATAGTCATGTCATTAATTAGGTAGGTAATTATGCAAGGGCCCATGATGGTTTTGATTTTGGAAAGCTTCATATCTATTCTTGATTTCTCTCTAGCGTATGATCTTGAGATTGTCAACACTTGTTTCAAGGAGGAGGATGAACATCTCATCAATTAAAAAAGTAGAGTCTCAAGGTCATAGATTGACTTCTTTCTGATAAGGAACACTAGTAGAAGAATTAGTAAAAATTAAAAGGTGATGATTCCTAGAGATGGAATGACAACATAGCATAGGGTCCTTGTACTTAATGTATGTATTAAAAGTAGAAATCCAAAGCGCTAACAAGTGTTAAACCCAAGAATTAGGTGGTAGTAATTGAATGGTAAGAAGTAGGAAATTCTAAAGAAGAATCTTTTGAATGAATGAATTTAGGAATCTTGGGAAAGTGCTAATATCTTGTTGTAGGACATAGCTAAAAAGGTAACAAAAGTTGCTAAAGAAATTTTGGGAGAATCAAAAAGTTTTGGATTGAGGGTAAGGAGTCATGAAAACATACAGGAGATAGTCAAACATAAAAGAGTGTTTTAAAGCCATAAGTTTGTGCAATACAACAAGTAGCCTTTATCCTACTACATAGGACTGGCTACATGAATTATACAAAACCATTATACTCTATCATTTACCAAGATTTTAAAAATGTTGTTAAGTAAGAGATCTTGGTCAATAATATTGAAAATTGGAGAAGTATCATATGGCTAAGAAGGAGACTAAGAAAGTAGCAAGTGAAGCATGTTCTAAAACATTTGAGGAGTTTTAGAAGGATCTAGAGACAAAGGATAAAAAATGAAAAATTTACAAAATTGCAAAGAGTAGGAAAAGTAAATTAGGAGGCTTAGACCAGGCAAGGTGCATAAAGGATAAAGAAGGAAGAGTTTTGATTACAAATAGAGATATTAAAGATAGATGGAAGGCTTGCTTTTACAAGCTTCTCAATGATCAAGGGAGTTCATTTAGTAATTAGGAGGATTTAATAACTCAAAAAAGAGAACATAATTTGACATTTAATCATAAGATTTTGTCATAACCAAGTTAAGGAAGCTCTTAAGAAGGAATATGGTAGTCACTGGGCTTGCAAGTATCCCCATTGAAGTATGAAAATATTTGGGTAAAAAGTAGGTGATGTGGCTAGCTAAGCTATTAAATGAGATCCTACCGTCCAAAAACATGCCTAATGAATGGAGAAGTACTTTAGTTCCTAATTACAAGAATAAAGGGAATCTTCAAAATTGTACAAATTATGGAGGGATTAAGCTTATGAATTATATAATAAAATTGTGATAAAGAGTGATTGAACGCAAGTTGAGGTTGGACACTAACATTTCTAAGAAATAATTTTGTTTCATGTTAGGAAGGCTTTTGACAGAAGCAACATATCTATTAAGGGTATCAGAGCAAAGGTAGCGACTTACACATAGTTTTCATTTATCTGGAAAAAGTTCATGATCGTGTGCCAAGAAAAGTACTTCGAAAAGCCTTAGAAAAGAAAGAAGTTTTGCATTGCTTATATCAGCTATACAAGATATGTATGAGGAGCTAGCAATGAGTGTAAGAACATTTAGTAGTAAGACAAAGGATTAGCTTGCATCAAAAATCCTTCGAGTCTTTATTTGTTTGACCTGATTTTAAATGTTCTAGTTGAGCATGTTTAAAAGAAAATCCCCAATTGCTTGCTTTTTGCAGTTGATATAATTTTTATTGTAGAGACAAGGGAAGATATTAACTCCAAACTTGAGTTATGGAGAAGGATTTTAGAGTCAAAAGGTTTTTGCTTGAGTGGCAGCAAGATGAAATATATAAACTACAATCTTGATAAGAGGTTAATTAGTAGTAATTTGGCAGTGGAATTAAGAGATGAGATCATACCACAAGTGAACAAGTTTAAATATTTGGGAGCAATTATTTGAAATGATATTGAAATTGATGGGAATGTTGCACGTAAGATACAAGCTAAGTGGTTCAAATGGAAAAAGGCTACAAAGCTATTTGTAATCGAAAGAGGCCTAATAAACTTAAAAGAAAGTTTATCAAATTATTATAAGACCAACCATGCTATATGGTATTGCATGTTGGGCTTTAAAGGGATAACAAAAGCATAAAATTGGAGTAGCAGAAATGAAAATATTGAGATATGTGAAAGTGAGAGAGATTGGAGAAATAATTGGTGAATATATTAAGCTACAATCTATCTTATTTATAATCATATATAAAAGACAAAGAAATAAAGAGTAATAATGACAAAAAATACATAATGATCTGGCTAATAAGAAATAGTCAGCCCTAATAGTATACAATAAATCAACAAGGTGGATGCATGGGCATGCATAAAAAGATAAAATCCACAATGAGCGTATTCAAGAAAAAATGGACACGGCATTTATTGAGGAGATGGTAGAAAATCCTTTGAGATGGTTTAGACATTACAAACTACAAAAACCGTGGCAGGCACCAATAAGGAGCGGAACAAATAACCTTGAGTCCTATGAAAAGGGGTAGAAGATTAAAGAGAACACTCAGGGAAGTTGTTGAATGAGACATTTTAGTTAACAATATACCCATAGGCTTGGTTGATAGAGCACAATAACATGCAATCCACGAGCCCAACCCCACCTAGTGGAAAAAGACTTCCTTTTTTTTTGTAAACTTGTTGTATTTAATTAAAGAAGACAAATGTCGACTGAAAAAGAAATTAGTAGCATTAAATTATTTGTACCACTATTTTTTTTGGAAAAAGAAATTGTCTTTGTGAAGTGATAGAGGAGCATGATGGAGGGGTTTGAGGATGTTGGATTTCAAATCTACCCTTGATGAGACAGAATATATAATGAAACTATTTAGTTGAATTAAATAACATTTAAATCAATTAGTACTCAATTTAATATTAAGTAAAATTAGTTTTAAGCAAATAAAAGATTGAATGTAATTCAATTTGACTCGAATCCACAATATCTTATTTAAGACATCGTACGTGATTGGAGGTATTATCAAAATCAATCACAATCCTTTTATCATATATTTAAAATGTATATGATATGATTTGTGTTTGATATTTCCTCGAGCAACTAAGTCACCCACCCACTACAAATAGGAGCAGCTACCATAAGTCCATACAACAGAGTGAACTTTCCTCTCCCCTTTTCTCTCTCTTGTGAGATGTATCTGTTATGGCTTATAGATTTGTGCTCTGGGCAAGCCACTCAACCCAAATCTGGTATGTCTCCCTCCTTTTATTTTCTCTGTATCATTCCAATTTTCTAACAGAGAAAAATCTAAAGAGTAGGTTAGGATTGACGTTACTTTGACTTTTTTACTCATCTAAATAAACACTTATATTCTTTTACTTATGATATTTCCAATCCAAATGTATACTTATAAAAGATTACAAGATCTTGATCAACATGAACAATGGCAAAATTTAAGTTTCCCTTCCCTTCCCCTCCATTCTGTTCAATCCAATCCAAATAAATCCTAGGGCATAACAGAAAAGGGAAGCATAATAAGGGAGAGGGCTGGGTTCCCTTGCCCTGCTGCACTATGTCTAACCCCCACTCTTCCATCTGATAAAAGCCTACTTGGCAAGAACAAGTGAAGACAAGAACTTCACCAAAATCAAATGCAAGGTAGAAAATCATCCAAGCAAGAACTTTAACGTGCATCTTACAAAAGAATGAATACTAAATTCTTGATTGAACAAAGAATGTTAGCCTTCTACATAAAATACAGTATAGAGTTTATAAATATAAAATTGTTTTCACAGATTCATTCAGCCATGGTAATTGGTTTCAACTATAGTTTGTTATGGAATCATGATAAATGAATGAAAACTTTCTTTATACCTGTCCAGCACTAATGAGAGCCAGCATTGCCCACCCTGTATTTACTACATGAGACCTGTTTCCTTCCAGATTTGAATACACCTGAGCAATGAAACATTGCTAATGATGACTATACAGAAATCAAAGCATTTAAATCGTTGGAAGTAATCCAGTTTCCTCACTCAGTGTTACTTCAAAGAACTAAATGCAATATATAATCCAGAGACACGTGCACCAACTTTTTTATCTCTTAAATTTTGGTGTTCCATGTTATTAGTAACACACCTGATAGATGATACCATCTCTCCTTGTGCACATATATTGCCTTTACATCTCTATGCTTCAACCCTCTATAATCATATGTTTGAAATGTGCAACAGCAGATACATGTATTTAAGCATAATAAGGGCAGGAGTTTGGCCCACACATGTGCATGTAAAATAAACATATTAGACACACAAAACTTTACCTTGTTTTGACTAGAGAGATAACTTTCTCCCCAGCCACCAGAAGGGAGCTGCTTAGAAAGCAGAAATTCACAAGCTTTCCGGACACTCGAGCAATTATTGAAGTCCTTTCCAGCAGCAATCAACCCATTTACTCCAAACCATGCACCATATGTGAAGCAAACCCCCCAAGAGCCATACCTAGGATCAGATTTAATGGTCAGAGCTCACCGTAACATGAATAAAGCAGAAGCAGATAGAAAACAAGCAGTACAAAGGTGAGATACATGCATGCATGAATTAAAATATGCTCAACATCATGGATCAAATTAATTCATAATTTTTTTTAATGAAAAAGGTGGTATCTTGAGCAGAGGGAGCAAACCATGAACCATCTGAATCTTGAATTTCTTGAATAAAGGCGGCAGCTTTTTCAATACAATGTTCTATTTCTTGTCTGCGGTGACCAGGATACAACTTGCTAAATAACCTCAAAGCTTGTATTGCTGCTGACGTACACTCCACATAGCTATAGAGAACATACCATAATGCTACGATATGTTAAAATTCAGAAAGGGAGAATGGATGAAGGTATACAGAAACTGGTCCTGAGGAAGCACTTAATAGCTTACGGATAATCAATGACGATGTCACCAAAAGTTTCAGCAGGATTAATAATCTGACAACAAACAAGGTGACGTCAACAAGACATGTAAACTTAAACATACAACACTATTCAATTCATTAACATCTATCACATGTATCCATCCACTTATTTATACTAATAGGTGATACAACAAACCTCCTCATTGGAACTAACAGTTCAACAAAATTTCTAACTCCAATTAACATCATAACAGTCAAATGTGTGAGTGCACACATATGTGTGCACACATTTGCGTGTGCATATGCCTATGTCAAAAAGCAACCTTCCAAATTCCAATATTGATATCTTGTAATGAAACCGAAAGGATGAGCTCAAGGATGAAGGATGTAACTCTAAAAAAAAAAAAAAAAAGTGAAGAGCTCAAGGAAAATTGAAAAGGTTCAAACCCTAATGGGAAATCTACATCCACTAGCTTTTGTGGCAACAACCCCACAAACTTATGCTTGGCAACCTAACACATAAATGAGAAGTTGCAATGGTACTAAGTTAGGTTCTATTAGAATTAGTTGTGCTCTATGTTGATTATGGTTTCTTTAAATTGCCAACTAGTTTAAATCCTTGTATTTATCATAGTGATTTTATATGCAAATAGAGTCAGACTTCAGGTACAAGGAAAAATAATATAGTTGAAAGGTTGAAAGATATCTGAAGTAGCATGCGTCTAAACATAAAGATGGCTCAAGGAATAGTCTCTCAACAAAAGTTAAAAACAAAAAACTTAAGCAGAGATATTGTTCTTTCATTTGAAAGAGAACGTTGCATGATTTCATGAAGGATAAAAAAAAAAATCTAACCAAAGAAAAGCCCCTCACAATGGAAGAAAGTTACCTCCAAACATGCATAAGATCTGGTGAGTTCATATGTTGCAAAACCACCATCTGCATTCTGCATATGATGTAAAAAAACACATTTCTAGATTCAATACTTAAAACAATTGGACCATTAAACAAATTGAATTGAAAATATAGAATAACTAGCTGCCCACCAACTAAGAAGCTACAAGAAAAACAACAACAACAAGCATTATCCCACTAAATGAGGTTGTTTACATGAATTGAACGACAACATTAGACAACTGAGAAGAAAGTCAATTATAAAATATCACTACAAAGTATGTAGAATTTTAACTAGAAATTGTTTAAGATGAATTCATTATGATAGAGATTGACAATTCTAATCGTTCTTTTTTGTTTAATTTTTTATTTTTCCATTTTGCAAACAAATATAGAATGCAGCTTCAAGATGATAATATCCTAATTCAAGAATAAACTTCTGGATAATATATAAATTGTATTCAAACATTATATATTATAAAAATATTAGACTAATAGTAAATTTGATTCAAATTTGCATAATATGAAGGTTGGGTAGAGCCATGTACTTCTTAGTTCATGTCATGAATCATTAGCATCTCCATGTATCGTATAAACCTGAAACTTCACGACTAGAAAGAGATTTTTGGACATTAGGCATTGAGTAATACAGTTTCATGTATGCTTATTGAAATTATTTTGGAAAAATTATAGTTACACCTAATTACGGGCACAGGCCAAACTTTGGGTTTGTATATCATGGAATATAGTTTGAGACTTAGGCCCTTTGAACATTGACAAATCTCAAGCAAGTGACCTGGCCTTTGATCAGCCCTCACTGTAAGCATAAATAATTGAAGGGTCAAATATTACCACAATATCACAACTTTTGGCACTTCTAATTATATCTCCAATGAAGTTTTTGATAATTTAATTAGAGTAACAAATAAATCCCATCAGTGTTTCCATCTTCAATTTAATTCTGTCCACATTTTATTATGGGGTAGGTAGAGACATTTCATGATTCAGAGAAACTGACAAAAGTTAATTACAAATCCAACTAACATCAATTATTCAAAAACAAAAATAATAATAATGATAATAAGAATAACTCCAATGAGAGAAAAAAAAAATTGTCATATTTTACTAGCTCAACTATTGGAAGAGTAAAAAATTGGTTTCGATCTTGAGGAGTCTAGCTACCTGCAATGAGAGAATGACATTAACAGCATCATATAATCTCTTAGCATCCAATGGCTCACCAACAACCTCTGGTTGAAATTTGGATAACAAAAGAGCAGCCTGAAAAGAATGTGTCAAAATAAGAGAAAATAAGGAAACAGAAGTCAAGCCTTCTTATCCATAATTACCTTCAATCCTTCGGCTGTGCAGTCAGAAATAGGCCATCCATGATCTGCAGTTGAAAACGGCCAAGCGCCTTTCGAAATATGACGATACCAATAATTAAGATCACCAGGACAATCTTCTAAAACCTTTTCCAGAAAAAAAAAAAATATATATATATATATAAGACATGTATCAACAAGTGCAAATTGATGAAAGTTTAAAAGATATGATGTAAATAACCACCTGTGAATTCTTAATGTACTTGTGTGCTTTTCTGAGTGCTGCCCCGTATTCTTCAGAGAGGTTAGTAGAAACAATTGCTTGGACAGCAAATGCAGTATCCCACAGTGAACTTCCATTGTATCCCTGCAATAGAAGCCCATTAATGCACTATTTGTATCATTTACTTCCCAAAACCCACTAGCCTACAACCCCTCAAGTAAAGGCCACGTTCACCACATAGCATGTTTACAAATGAGGAACCCCAATATGTTCAGATCATGCTCTAACACCTATAACATGTCCAATTGCATTAAAACGTCCATTGCTCTGGTAAGTTCAGGATAAGTTGATTTATATGTGGACCTGCATTTTCATGCCATCTTCAGCAAGCCATAGATAATCATATATCCTTGGAAGATGCAACTTGAAGGCCTCTGAATTTGGATCTTCCACCCAACAGCAGAGCATGTTCAACACCTGAATATTAATTAAAGTGTATCATTGTTTACTGACTGATAAATGATAAAAGAAAGTAGAACACTTGAATGAGGGAGAAGTACTGTAGAGAATCTTCCTCCCTTAAATAAATACCTTATTCACTGGCCCTATGCAGATATAACGAGTATTCTCATCTTCATAGTGTATATGCTCAATTGCCATCTTGATAGCCTTCTCTCTCAACTTTTTTCCAGGCCAACGCATCAAAATAGGCTCAACAACATTGTGAAGTGATGCCCAGAGAATATCCTGCACAAGTGGGTGAGGATAGTACAAGTCTTCCTGCACAGAAAGGTAATTCTCATATCACACGCTTAAATTCTGCTGGAAATCTCATAGAAATCAAACATCGTTCGGCTCTTGTTTTGATGCACCTCCACCCAAAAAATAAAACAAGGAAAGAAAATAAAAATTACAGGGAAGAGAAGTGAAAGCTGCAGTCTCTGGTCATTATAATTGAAAATAAACTTAAATCAAAACTAAGGAAAATAAGATCATCAAAGTCCAAATAAAAATGAATCAAAGGGATTAGAATGACGAATCCAGGAAATGAAATTGGATAATCATATACAGGAATTTTGGTTTTAATACTTCATAACAGATTATCATGGTGGGGGTGGCCAGAGAAATAATCATGCTGATGACAATTATTAACATTGACATAAGAACACAAGCCACGGTAATGTCCTGCTAGTCAAGTAGGTGGCAGAAAAAAAATAGAATGTGGTCGACGTGGTAAGATTGGAATCATTATGGATTGAGTGGTTGCGATGGCATGGCAGTAGCAACCAATGATTTTCAGGAAAGTTCAAGCATTGAAATAATAGGAAACCTAACAAATGGTGGAAACAAAAATATAACAAGACAGAGAAGATAGAGAGGTAATGTTAAGTTGCTATTTTCTATGTAATTGCTAATGTACAGAATATTATACATCGCGCCCACAAATAATATAATTCTTGCAAAGCAATCATCAATTTTTTTATTTTTTTTATTTTTTGCAGGACCAGTTAGTAGTTGCACAAACCTTAGCACACAAATTACGTGACTGATTCCAATCTATGTGATGATATGGAATTGTATAAAGCTCCTTCCTCAAAGACAACACTGTTGGTGTGATTGGACCAACAAACCTCTTCCCATATAAGTAAGACATTGGCAAATAGACCATCCGACAGTGACACCACATCCTTCCTGTAAAACATAAAAATAGAGTTTTTCCCTCCTATTCTATGCAGAGAATGATTTGAAAGATAAGAGAAACTTAAGAAAAGCATATATTGCGTGAATGCATATATGCTTTTACTATGAACATTCATGCAGTACACAAGTTCTCAGTCACACAGAATACTAGTGTGTGCAATATCTATTGTCTCCTCATAAAATTGAAGCATACATCAGATGACACAAAGATGCCTGGACAGACTGGATTAAAATCCAAAAATCATGTCATAAAGGTATTGTGCAAATTGAAATTGCCCAACCCAACAGATTGAATAAAGCAAAATCTTAGATTTATTTATAAAGCAACAAACTCAAGTTGCCCAATAAATTTGACAAGTTCCCATGATTATCATCATTCGATATAGTTATTTTTCCTTTCAACCAGAGGTTTCCCACTTTAAAGGATATTTTGTTTTGAGCATAGATACCAAGTTAGATCTTCTACAGTTGCGTAATGCATTTGAATTAAAAGTGACGTAAGTTGGGGGCTGTTTCTAAGGACATTTATACTTTATTCCCCCCACCCCCAACCATACTATATGCGATCATCTTTTTATTGCAAAACATCTGGATTAGAAAAAGATACACAAGCCAAACTTTTAAATCAAAAAACCAATCCATACGCAGAATTCTTAATAATTAACTCCTGAACTATAGGAGATGGAGGCTTCTTTTGAGTATATCTCCTCTTTGATCAAGTAAAACATCATTAGAACAGCTTAAAAGACAAGAACCTGGATGGAATGGAAGCACATATGGAAGAAGCCATATCTCAGGTGGAAGGGGATTATTTCCAGACCATTCATATACTCCAAGAACCTATCATCATAATAAAATAAGTAAATAAATATACTACAGCATCATATCAATTGATAAAACCATCAAAATAAGGCTGAGATCTTAACTGAAAGCCACATCTTCCCCCATGATGTTATATAAGTAGCACCACCATGCTCTAGAATCCAATCACGGCCTTTCTCCATGGCCCCTTCTCCATCATTTGCTCCTTCACCAAGCAATCTGAGAGTTATGTAACTCAAAACAGTACCAAACATGGTGCTTGAGCCTTCGATATGCAATCCCCAGCCACCATCCTCATTCTGCCATTACATGACAATAGAACTTCTGAGCAGGAACCAATAATAGACAAAATAATGGTGTAAATTTCTTACCTGATGATTGTAGAGGTAACGGCGCATTTCCTTTTTATGTTCTTCTGATAAGATCGCATTTAGTGCACCAGTGACAGACAGAGTAATTACCTGATCAATTGTTTAGCCCAGAAAGCATTAGGATTCTCATGGTTATTTCTCAAAGGTGAATATTATTCAAGAAGAATTCTTTATCAGGAAAAGGAAGGGAAAATTAACAAGATAAATATCAATCTACAATGATCACTCCAAAATCAAAAAGACTGAGTTGGTGCAGTTTTGGCAAATGTACCTGATTTCCTGCAAGTTAGAGTAGAATGTATATCACAAAATAAGATTCAGTTTTAGAAACTGAACTTACCAAGCCAGGCAAAAGAAACATGGGACCTCCATAATCTCCTGGCCAGTGTCCATCATGGCTCTGTAACGTTGAATGGAAACTTATGGCTCTCTTTAATGTTCTTGTCACTGTCTCCTCAGTAATATCCTCTATATCTTTGACTTTGACTTGAGGTAAAACCACATCTCTTGGATTCTCTTTTGCAAACTTCATTTAGTTAAAGAAAGAAGATTGAGCCTAAATGGTAGAATTTTTTACATGACAAATAATAAAAACTATACACAACAATAAAGCATTAAAAATCACATTACACCCCACATAACAAAGCCAGAAAAAAGTTCTATGAGATTTGCTGGGAAAATCATGGCAATTGACAAACAACTATTGAAATCTATTTCTCTTAACTAGCTTTTGGTTCTTTCTGTTTAAGTTGCCGCCTTCATTGATAAGCCATTGAGTAATTAAGTAGACTAATAGTCTTTATTTCCCTCCATGTTGTCTGGGCTCGGTTCAGTTTAGCAGTGTTTGGTCCCCTATTTTGCCCTCTTTATTTTGTATTCTTCTTCTCTGAAATAATTCAAGACAGAGAATTCTCAGATCTATCCCTATCCCTTCCATCTCTCTCAAAACTTTTATGGTATCAGAACAAAAAGCTCAATCCTCCCCAAAGGTTCCACAGATATATTCCCTTGACCACCAAAATGCAAAATTGGTCAGCCTCCTCAACTGCTACGCCACCCACCACTAGAAAGACACACAAGTCCTTGTCCACCCTAGGCCCATAAGCCCATGTCAGCCATGGAACCTCAGTTTCAGGCCTGTCCACTGATTTGATTCCTCCCCCTCTTATGGTTACAGGGCACAAGCCACAAGTGGTCTCATATCATTATGTGCATCATAGGTAAAGGAAAGAATGCCATATCTTGCAGGTGATCTTACTATTGAACCTAGAAACCCATTATGGTTACAGGGGGAAAAAGAAAAAAAGAAATCTATACATACCAAAAGTCATTACCCTTCATATCAATATCAACCCTCTGAATCCTTTGCTCAACTACGCAGAATTTCAGGAGCTAAAGGGTTTATTTTGCTCATTCATAACGCCAAAATTACTTTTGGATATATCTCTTGAGAGAAAAGTCAGAAGTGCAACAGATTGTTAAAAACTTCACCCTAATGGTCCAAACACAACTCCATACAAATAACAACAACAACAACAACAAGCCTTATCCTGCTACATGGGGCAAAACACAACTCCATACCAAAATCAAAATCCTACGATCCAAATAAGAGTTGTGAATATATCAATTCTGATCACAGAACCTTCTTTGACAATAATAAGATAATTCAACAAACCACTAGTGTGAATACACTACCCCTCAACAAAAGTAAGTGCTGTCACCATTTGAAGCCCTCCCCACATCCACCACCCATTGTTACAAAACATTTTTGTATTGAAGCATCCTCCAAGCCAATCATTTGATTAATAAAATGACTCAGATTATACATGAAAAAAATGAAACCCTCATAACCTCTGAGCCGTAAAAAACCTTTCCAATTATTTTTATTCTTCTATACTACTACCCACCCTTTCTCCTTTTTACCTCTCAAGGACTTTCAATCTTTATTCACCCTAATCCTAACATTAACCTAGGACCTAAAGCCCTTAAATGCATGTTCCTGAATTATTCTTTAACCAACAAATATTACGAATTCTTCTTCCTTATTACCCACCACTTCTATCTCACTCTAGATATCACCTTGCTAGAAAAACTAGCCCTATTACCTTAAAATCACCATTTGGAGGAAGGTGAATAGGGTTTTAGCCTGATCTAGAAATAATAAATCAGCGCGAGCAAGGGTTAGCCTGTTGCTGAAAATGTAGACTAACCTATCTTGTTGACCAACCCGTGATCTTTCAATGACAATGCCAGTACGACTAAATCTCAATCAAACCAACAAAAAAAGAAAAAAGAGAAAGAAACATTGGTCTATTCTAGAGAGAAGGTGAAGGTACATGAAATGGAAGTGCCAAGTACCTCTCCAAAGCACAACCAAAAATCTCCCTTGAGGCCAACTTTGTCTACTGCTCATGATTCTTTGGATTTACTTATTGCCTTGAGGAAAGGTATACTTTATACTCAGATCCTATATGCCATTTTGTGTCCCATGATAAAAATCCTACTAACAAGACTTTTGTGATTGATATTGCCTCTTAAAAAATTACTCAAAGTCTACAAGAGGCACTTGGGACTCCAAAGTCAAGTCAGGCGATCTTAGAAGATGTGCCAGCACTTGAGAAAAGTGGCACTTGGCAAACTAATGGTCTTCCCAAAGAGAAACAACCATTTCATTATAAGTGGGTGTTTACCATCAATTACAATTGTAATGAAAGTATAAATTATCACAAAGCTAGATTAGATTAGAGGCAAGCGGATACACTCAAACTTTGAGCTTAGACTATCTGGAGACATTAGCTCATTTACATCTTTCACATCAGACTTGATATCAACTCCTTAATCGATTTGGTTACTGAATGCACAGACAACCCAACCAAAAAAAAAAGAAAGAAAGAAAGAAAAATACGTAGGCACCATATAGATTCTTGAGATACTTGAAAATGGCTCTTGGCAAAAAGGTCTCCTTCAAGAAGGACAAACCATGTATAGAAGTAGTGCAAAATACAAGGACAACTTTTTATGAGGTAATCTCACTCCTTGGATGTCAGTAAACAATAGGCAATTTTGCTGGGAGTAGTGCCAAAGTAGAAATTCTGGCTTTGCTCATGGCATATGCATAGAATTATGGCTAAAATGGCTACATAATGAATTGAGGGATATCATTCACTAGCCTTACAAAAGCCTTCTTCGATAATCTGGCAACTATTAGTATAGCAAAACGGTCAAATCATATTTCTTTTCTTTTCAGCGGCTATCTCCAGTTGTCATCCATGGAGTTACATATATTTAGTCTTTGCTTTGTTCCATACTATCTGGGCTTAAATTAGGAGCGTTTATCTCTATCTCCTATTCTCCCCCCAATTATTTCTTTCCCTTTTAGTGGCTACTTTTAAGATTAAACTGGTTCTAAGGGAAAGGAAACAATTATGAAATACTTCAATTAAAGTAGAATGAGTTTGAAGACGCACAAGGGAAGAATTAACAAAATATGAAATATTAAGATGCTTACTAATCATTCTTCAGGGAATCCAATACATCTTATACCAGTTCAAATTGGAACTCGAGAATTTAACATAGAATGCAAGACGCATCAGCTAGATATTTATTTGATAAGAACTTACAAGATATGAAATGAAAAAAGCAGGAAGTTCCTACTTCCTATGTATAGCACCTTCACATGTGCAAATTTAATGAAAATAACACTGTAGTGAAACTATAGGGTTATATACCTTTCTTTTGCAATTATCCTTTAAGATTCGTATACACACAAAAGTACTTTTTTTCTCTAAATAAACATTTGCAGGTTAGCCTACAATGCACAGTCCTCAGAAAGTACGACAAAAATATCTGGATTGATTTTAAACATCAAGGATATAGGATGGAAGAGTAAAGGACAGTAACCAGATCAACGGATTCCACCACATCCGATATTATCAATTTTCCATTCAACCCCTCCAAATGGACAGTGCAGGAATTTAAAAACCCAGAGTAATAAATCAACGCACAGTCTTGTTTATACCTGACAAGACAAAGCTAAGAAATCATCAGCAGTTTAATCTTACTATGGAAGTCAGATAGCCAATTACCTACAGACGAATTAAGAGTGGACTTTAACCGGAATGGAAGTTAGCACAATTAGCTGGAATATATATATATATATATATATAATGGCTAAACATGATGGCACGAATTTCCTCTTTCTAATGAACAAATAAAATCTTGAAGCGTCCTCAGAAGAAATCGTGATGACTAACGTCAAGTATGTACTGTATCGCAATTATTGCTAGAAAGAAAGTCTCATTATCATAATGACGGTTTGATGCTCCCCATTATATCAATCGAACAGGTTAGCAATAGCAGCTAATACTAACTGAAAAATTTGTTCAATTCGGTCAAATTAACGCTCTTCAACTACACGATCCACGAGGGTATAGCAAATTGACATTTCACCTGAATTTGTATTCATGGTTAGCTACGAAACTCAACTACCTAAACGGACAAGAGATTTGATACAATTATCACTCTAATTATAGTTCAAGCAACACATAGCTAGAGGCAGAACCAATCCACAGTGCAATGGACTAAGATACCGAACCTGAATGCGCATCATTAGGTCAGAGCTATGCTTCGTGCGAAAGCGATTTTTGTGGAAAGTTTCGCGAGCTTTCTCAATCTCCATGAGTTCCTCTGGCGATCCAAGCTTAGGATCAAACTCCCAGACCTGTCTGCCAACGTGATTGTTCACTGAACGCAACCATGGACTCCCTCCCTCCGCAATCTTCAGCTTCCACATTGTGTTCCGATGCTCAGCAGACTGACAGAAACAATGAGGTGAAACCAAATGTCTGATAGAAAATGGTGCATTCACGTTCACTAGGAAATAGCAGAAAAATCAAAAATGTAAGACAAAGCGGAAAATATTTTGAAATTAAATTTTCCAGAAAAACGTCAAATAATCACCAGTGGGATCAATCAGCCATTAGTGCGAAAATGACGTGAAAGGCTAATCAATGACCTATTTTACCATATCAGTACCTAAGTAGGTGAAGAATGCGCAAGTTGTATTTGACGGCTTCGGAGTCCCTTGAAGTCCCACAAGCGTGCTAAGTTGGTGAAGAATGACAACAGCGTTTTGAAATGCAAGAACATCGAATCGAATTAAAAAGAATAACGGGTCATGATTTTTATAATCTAATTAAAAACAATTTAATTGATAATATAAAAATTAAATAAAAAATAATATTTATATGAACAACTATATAAATAAAATATTAATTTATCAATAATATTTGAAATCTCAACTTCAAAAGCTAGATACTTGAACCGTTGGAATTAAAAATAGAGGCATGTCAGTACAAGTTTGTGATCTCGAAGGAAAATGTTAGAGCTAGAAGCATGTCATTATGTCATGACTCACAAACTTTCAGTCTCAATGCCAAGGGTTAGATCTCCAGAGCTGGAGGCAAAGGTTGGAGGAAAAGTTAGAGATTAAGCTTGGGCCTAAAGGAGATATTAGATATTAGAGAAGAAAAGAAAAGAAAAAATTAGTAATTAGAGAAAAGAAATTGTGAATCTAAACAATTTAGCTTGAATTTCTTTTTTTTTTTAATTTTTTTGACTTTGACCTGAGTTGACCCAGCTCCAATTTCTGAGTCAAAACTAGTTCTCTCAAAACTGACCGATTCAATCTGGATCAACTCAGGTCAAGTGCCAGATTAATTCAATTGGTTGAATCAAACCGTTTTATTCAATGGGTGATGGTCGAACCATCCGATTCAATCCGATTTCAACAACAGTGCATCAAACTTCTCAACAAAATTTATCGTAATAAAATCGATCAGTTTTATTGAATATTGTTTTATAATATATATATTATTAATATGTAAACCTTAATTTATTAAATTTCTAAAAACAATCCTAACAAAAAAGTCTTGCTGCCACTTGGGCCAGCAATGTGTGTGGATATAAATACATATTGTTAGCAAGTTTTATTATTAAAAAAAAAAGGTTGTGTGTGTGTGTTTTTTTTTTTTTTTTTTTGGTAATATCATATGTTTGAGACTTTGAGTCAATGAGTTCACTACCTATGCAGAAGGAACTGGATAAACATGTTGCGGGCTAGTGTGCTAATGTTTGGGGGCTGGGCATCGGCCAACCTGCAAACTACGGCATGCACTGTTTTTCGAAAGAATATTTGACTAAAATATTTTATAACAAGACTATTATATATATATATATATATATATAACAATGCCAATAGTTAATAATATGGAAAATATCATTCAAAACCAATCGAGATAAGTAATAAAAGATTTTAAAATATTATTGTAAGACCATGAGATTGATTAATAAGTACTCATTTTAATTTAACAAGAGATCATTTACTAGTTAACAAATTTAAAAAAAAAAGAAAAAGAAAAGTAAGATTATTATAGTATTTTTTATTTAAAATTATTTTTAAATCAATTTCTTAGTCATATAGGGATATTTCAAAATTTTTATATTATTGGTTGATATTAAATTGTTTTTCTTTATCAAAAAAAATTGTTTTAACTGTTCTTGAATGATTTTTTTTTTCCTTAATAATTTGTCCCGCTAGCCATACTAAATATCCTAGGAATTATCCTACATAATTACTCCTATTAAATAGACGCATTCAGATTTCAACCTCACAGCACATTAAAAAACTTAAAACCACATTCCACAATCCACAGGCAAGACACAGGCACCCTGACCGCAAAGTACAAAATCCGAAACTAATTCTGGTACTCCAAATGAATAACCTAAAATGTATAAAAAAATTTTAATTTTGAGATAGTTATATATAATTTTTCTCATTTTTTTTAGTGTTTAAAATTAACTCCTTTAACTTTTAATTTTGTTTTTCAAAACCCCATGCATTTAATTAATTATTATTTTATTAATATAGTTTTTCTCATATCATATTAATACAAAACACAAGAGACGTGATATAGCAAAATATTTTTATTATTTTTAACACAATTCAAATAGGGGTAAAATTATATGTTTTATTTTTAACACACATGAAGATGCTCTCATTTTTTTTAGTTGAGTGACATTGTTTTTATTATTCACAAGTAATATAATTTAAGAGAAAAATTATAATTTTATTATTGTTTATCAATTAAAACAGCCTTTTATATTAAACAAATGAAAAGAAAATTATCCTAAAGCTATCACTAATAAAAATTATATAAATTTCATTATCTACTTTGTTTGTTTTCTTTATAATCTTATTTGTTTGTAGCTGTTATTTTCTTCTTTGAATGAAATTTTCAGTACTTATTCAAACAAAAAAATATGTTACTAATTTGTTACAAATAGATTGTATGCAAATTTAAAATAAGATATAATTTTTTGTAATTGGTGTTTTATATTAATTTTGTTAAAAATGGCTTGTAAAATATCATAGTTTTCTTGTATTAAAGGATACTTTTTTATTTATATGATTTTTATTGATAACAACTTTTAGATTTTTTTTTTCATTTGTTTGATATAAAAAGTTGTTTTAATTGATAAAGAATAATAAAATTATAATTTTTCTCTTAAATTATGTTACCCCATGAACAATGAGAATAATATCACTCAACTAAAAGGAAAGACCATTGTCTTGTGTGTTAAAAGTGAAATTTATAATTTTATCCCTACTTAAGTTGTATTAAAAAATAATAAAAATATTCTTTTCATATCATGTGCCATGTGTATTGTATTAATAGGACATGAAAATAACTATATTAATAAAATAATAATTAATTGACCATAGTAGGTTTTGAAAAACAAAATTAAAAGTTAGAGGATTAATTTTAAATGTTTAAAAGTAAGGGAAATCATATATAACTCTATCATTATATATATAAAAATATTTAAAAATTAGATGATTAATTTTAAATGTTTAAGGCTACGAAAGAATGTCACGTGTTCATTTTTAGATTTGTTATAATTCTGTACTTTGGGATACCTTTCGTGTGATTATGTGCTCTGGAGTCAGGCTTGGGGTTATGTTCGGGATGTTTTATTGTTTTTAAGAAATATAAAATATATTATTTAGGTTTAGAGTTGGGTGTGGGATGAATTATTAATTTTTATATGTATATAAAAATCTATTTTTATCTATTTAAAATTCAAATATGGGCATGTTTAAGTTCAAATTAATATCTATTTATTTAATAACTCTATCCAATCTAAATATATGATGAAAATCTAGGTTCAATATTTTATTTGATATATAACTTAGTAAAGTAATATTTATCTATTAATATTAAATATCAATATTTTTTTATGCATGATTTAGAAGGGAATCCGTTAGATTTGACATTAGAATTAAAAATCAATACAATTCCCTTTGTTTTACTTAGTATTCTTTAAATTTTCTTTAAACTGCTAATTAATATTTATCTATTTAATAACTCTATCTAACTTAAATATACGGTGAAAATATGAATTCATAATTGTGAGTCTATATATATACAGCTATATATTAGGATGCAAATTTAAATTAACATACATCTATTTAAATATTTAGAAAAAGAATATGTTTTTTACTATTTAAATCTATCCTCATAAATTTCAAAAAATATAAATATGATTAAATATAGATATTAATATATTTAATTATTTGGGTCTCATTATGTTAAATTCATATATTAATTTTTTCCATATTTATATAATTTGAATTTTGCAACCAGTTATTTGAACTGTTAATTTCATATATCAATAATTAGAATCTCATTATGTTAAATTCATGTATTAAGTTCGGTAGAATTAAAATTTCTTTAATATCTGCACTCAAAAAAATAAATATTTAATATATATTGTTTTGATTTTTTTTAATTAAATCACCTCTTAATTCCCCCTCTTAAATGATCCTCATTCAATGTTGAATTAATTTTTAAGGATGTTGGAGTAAGTGTTTATGTCTTTTGTATTTCTTTTTTATAATTTGAATCACATTAATTGCATCCAATATATAATATTTATTCTATCTATAGGATAATATTGTTATAGGGTGATCGAATCTCTGCAGTCATTTGAAAGCCTTTTGTGTGACATTTTGAAGATATGTTGCATCTCTTTAAAATATATCAAATTTCAAAATTTAAGGCCTCTTAGTGTTTCTGATCATATAGGACAATATATTATCCTTACAAGATTAGCTTTCCTATTCTCTACCAACGTTAAGTTGCATCCTCAAATAGGTTCCATCTATTATTTTGGGTTTAGTTTTGTTAATATTCTAGAATTTGCAAATAGAGAGACAATAAATGATAATTAATTAGTTGCTATGTATTTAAATTTGCTGAATTTTTTTAAAAAATAATAAGGTGTTTATTTTATATGTACAACTCACTTATCATCTGAAAGAATTATTTATTCTTTTGGACCTATTTATTTGATAGGTTTAGAGTATGAAATTAGGTTTGAAATAATTTACCATTTTTATATATGTTTATTTTATTTTAACTAGATTTATCTATTTGATTGTTGGTTTGTAGATATGTTCAAACTCAATTTTTAAATATTTATGTATATAAAACAAAAAGAATAGTTACATTATATATTCTAAAAATATGAATTATTTTTATCCATCTCTTCATCTCTATTTAAATCTTTAAACTCAAATTATCATGAAATATTAAAATTTGATGAACTTTCATAAAATCAAATATTGTTAAAAGGGTAAGATATTAATTATTTATCGTGTGAAGTTTCAAATTTAAAAATTACTCATATTTTCTAATTAAATAATTTTATTTATATTTTTTATTAAAAAATAGTATTAATTAATTCAACGATATTTTTACTTAGCCAATCATTTTATTTAATTAATAAATATTGAAATTTAAAATCTAACTATGTAATTTAAATAAGTTAAAAGTGTAAAAAATATTGAACAATTAAATATATAAAAAATTATCTTTAAAACATATCTTTGGTAAAATGATTCCACCAAATTAATCTTGACTTGGAGAAGTACTTAAAATATTGGTAATGTCATAATTGGAGTAGGATAAATTAATAATATTGGTCAATATATTAAGCTAT